CTGTATTTACAGCTGCTCCCCAATGCTCACATTACCACCTGAGCTCTGCCTCCTGTCAGGTCAGCAGTGGCATTAGATTCTCATAGGACTGCTAACCCTACTGTGAACTGCACATGTGAGGGATCTAGGCTGAGTGATCCTTATGAGAATCTAATGCCTGGTGATCTAAGGTACAACAGTTTCATCTGGAAATCATAGCCCCGCCCTCATCCATGGAAAAATTGTATTCCACGTAACTGGTCCCTGGTGCCAATAAGGTTGGGGACCACTGCTTTATAAGACTAAATTGTAGATTGATAGGGACATTGCTTTCCAGCAGTATGTAAAGCTAGGTTTCTTGATACTCTTGATATTCAAATCTAACTTTAAAACTTAGAGGAAAAGAAATCTGTTTAAGTGTTTAGTTAGCAAGAAAGTACAGTATACATATAAGCTATAAATAAATGAAGGGAGAAACCTTAGGAAAGAGTAAGCAAACAGAGAAATCAGCTCTCATCCTAAGAGTATATGCCAAATGTTGATAAAATTGAGCTTACATTTTGATGGCTACTCAAGGCTTAGAATATCAAATTTTAAGGAGTCTATCACAAGAAAACACTTTTATAAAGTTGGTGCTCTCAAGGGGTACATCTTCATGTTAACAGCAAAGAGGCACCACAAAGATCTTCCTGTAACACCCTTATAGTCACACCGACCCCCTGATCCCGGGCACTCCCACCATTCCTAATTCCTGGCAACCATTAATCTGTATTCCATCTCTAAAATGTTGTCATTTCTAAAATGTTTTATCAATTCTCCTGCAACTGTAACCACAAAGTGGCCTTCACAAGGTTCTCAAACTAAATTCACACTACTTGCATGATCCAATAAATTTCATATGAGATCCAATAAATCCCATATTAAAAGCACTCTTAATCTCTAGCCAGGCAACTGGAGAAAGCACAGGCAAATCCTCTGTGAAAGAAAATGACTTCAACAAAGGCCTCAAAGAATCCAACACCTTTCCAAAATGCACTACTCAAGTCAAAAAAAAAAAAAATTCAAGGATACCACATACAATAAAAGAGAGCCATCACAAAAAAGACACAGCAAAATCAGCAGATTCTTCCACTACTGGAAAGATCATAAAATAATAATGCTTCAAGCAATAATATCTATGAAAGACATAAAACTTCAAGAAATAAAAAAAACGAAGTAATTTCTTTTTAGCCTCGTTCTGTTGCCCAGGCTGGAGTGCAGTGGAGCACTTTCAGCTCATTGTAGCCTCCACCTCCCGAGCTCAATCTCCTGCCTCAGCCTCCCAAGAAGCTGGGATTACAGGCGTCTGCCACCACGCCCACCTAATTTTATATTTTTAGTAGAGACGGGGTTTTGCTATGTTGGCCAGGCTAGTCCCGAACTCCTAACCTCAGGTGATCTGCCTGCCTCAGCCTCCCAAAGTGCTGGTATTAAGAATTTTTAATTCAGTGTAAACGTGCAAGATTGAAAATCCATCTAAAATGCATTTCAGAGACATAGAAAAAAACTGTATAACAGCAGTTAAGGATCACAAAGAACAGAGTAAGAGAGGTCTAAACAAAATACTTCTAAATCTATCTGTGATACAGGCGACCATTTTTAAATTGCCAATCCATTGGAGAGAAAAACTTTTGTAAAATGCAATGAAAATAATTTTTTTAAAAAATCATACCCTGGGCCAGGTGCGGTGGCTCAAGCCTGTAATCCCAGCACTTTGGGAGGCCAAGGCAGGTGGATCATGAGGTCAAGAGATTGAGACCATCCCGGTCAACATGGTGAAAACCTATCTCTACTAAAAAATACAAAAAATTAGCTGGGCACGGTGGCGCGTGCCTGTAATCCCGGCTACTCGGGAGGCTGAGGCAGGAGAATTGCCTGAACCCAGGAGGCAGAGGTTGCAGTGAGCCTAGATCGCGCCATTGCACTCCAGCCTGGGTAACAAGAGCGAAACTCCGTCTCAAAAAAAAAAAAAAAATCATACCCTTATTAGGTGACGTCAATTTGATACAAAAGTTTCTAAATGCTTACTCTGAATTTGTCTTTAATTCATCACAGACCAGTAAAATCAGTTTGCAGACCAGCACTTGTCTGAAGATCACACTTTGAGTAGCACTGGTCTAAACACGAGTAGATCAGCATTATAAAAGGATATAAACAAATATAGGGCAAGTGCTGTAGCTCACATTTGTAATCCCAGCACTTTGGGAGAGCAAGGCAGATTGCTTGAGCCCAGGAGATCAAGACCAGCCTAAGCAGCCTGGAAAGACCCTCCCTCTACAAAAAATACAAAAATTAACTGGGTGGGGAAAAAAGTAACTGGGTTGTCCCAGCTACTCGGGAGGCTGAGTTGGGAGGATCACTTGAGCCCAGGAAGCAGAGGCTGCAGTGAGCCAACATCACACCACTGCACTCCAATCTGGGTGACAGAAAAAAACTTTTTTTTAAATAAAGAGAGATATTTGGACATTAACCAAATAAATAATGGTTGAAATTTTCCTAGTCTAACTTAAGACACAGATGGAAGGTCTGAGTTAAAAAAAAACAGCGATAGTAAAGATGCAGGTACACCTATGGGTAATTCCTTATCAGTTTAAAGGCTAAATCCACCAAAATTACTACAACACAATCCCCAACAAGACCAGCATGTTCTTTTTTTTTTTTTTAACTAAGAATGAGGGCTAGATGTACTATAAATAAACAAAATAAGGACAAGAGGACTTAGTAAAGAGAGTTATTTGAGACAAAATTTTAAGAGCTAAAGATTCCCTCTCTCAGTAGAAATATCCTGTCCCTACTGCCAAAACTGTATTTAGTTTATTAAATTAGGGTGACTTTTTAATGTGTAACTTTATGAAATAAAAAAATTACAATCTTCCATTAGCAGAGGCTGAATATATTTTCAATTATATAAAAATGAACAGGATTCCAATTTCCATTAACCATCCTCTTCAATGTGAGGTGAGCTATATAATACTTTGGCATACGCCACCTGTCAAATCTTCCAAGCAAAACAGACTCTTTTACTTTTAAATGCAGTTCATGTAAAAGACCCTGCTAAGGCTTGCAGAAGAAATCAAATGTAAATTCAAACTTACTTAGTAAAACTATGAAATTATGGCACTACGTCTCCTAACTAATCATAACTAATAGTTATATAAATGGTTGTTTTCAAATATTTGGCACATATCTAACTCCAGTATCACAATAACCCCATGGAATCCTGGCTTTATAGAACTGATATAATAATGGATAAAAGCTTAGAATGTGAAAGAACACAGTAAACAGCATCAAAAAAACACAGAAGACATAAATTGAATTTAACAATGTAAAGAGAAAAAGATGTCCAAAATCTAATCAACAACCCTTCATAGCAGTATTCCCCCTCAAGTGAAATTGAAAGGACAATCATTAGGCATACACAGCAGATAAACTAAATGAAATGATGCATTAACTTACTTGATTCAGTGTCATCAAATATGAACAATTTAGCAAGATTATTTTTTAAATTTAATTGCTTATTGAACCTTAATAAGACTCATATAGTACTACCTCCAAGAATATATAAAAAGAATAGAGAAAAAAAGCCAGGCTGAGTGATTAAAACTTCCATCAGGTATAAATAAATAAAAGCTGAGTGCGGCAAAAATTGTCATCCATACTTAATCATGAAGAATTAAAAGTATAAGCCATTCTGAAAAACTCAGTAGTAAGGTCTTTAAACAAGAAAACTTCTTCAAACTAGTCCATAACTATATTGATTCAAAGTTAATGCCTCAGCATATACAAAACACCAAACATCTTTACTGAGTGGTATAGAAAAAAGTTGGATTTAAGCTGGAAATTCATCAAGTTAAAAAAAGAAAATGCCTTCTTTCAGCCAGACACAATGTTCAAGCTAGGAGAATATGTGGCATTATAATTTCAAACTTTGACTGCCCACACCAAGTTTAACTATCAACCCCAACAAAAAGTGGGCAAAAGATATGAACACTTTTCAAAAAAAGACATTTATTCGGCCAACACACATATGAAAAAATGCTCATCACTGGTTATTAGAGAAATGCAAATCAAAACCACACTGAGATACCATCTCACACCAGTTAGAATGACGATCATTAAAAAATCTGGAGACAACAGATGATGGGGAGGAGGTAGAGAAATAGGGACACTTTTACACTGTTGGTGGGAGCATAAATTAGTTCAACCATTGTGGAAGACAATGTGGTGATTCCTCAAAGATCTAGAAATAGAAATATCATTTGACCCAGCAATCCTATTACTGGGTGTACCCAAAGAATTATAAATTGATCTATCATAAAGATACACACACGTATGTTCACTGCAGCACTGTTTACAATAGTAAAGACTTGGAACCAACCCAAATGCCCATCAAAGATAGACTGGATAAAGAAAATGTGGCACATATAAACCACGGAATACTATGCAGCCATAAAAAAGGGTGAGTTCATGTCATTTGCAGGAACATGGATGAATCTGGAAACCATCATTCTCAGCAAACTGACACAAGAATAGAAAACCAAACATCACATGTTCTCACTCATAAGTGGGTGTTGAACAATGAGAACACACGGACACAGGGAGGGGAACATCACACATTGGGGTCTATTAGGGGTTGGGACTAGGGGAGGGATAGCAGTGGGTGGGGAGATTGGAGAGGGATAACATTAGGAGAAATACCTAATGCAGGTGATGGGGGAATAGAGGTAGCAAACCACCATGGCATGTGTATATCTATGTAATAATCCTGCATGATCTGCACATGTGCCCCAGAATTTAAAGTAAAATTTTTAAAAAATGAAAAAAAAAAACTATCCATCCATTCTGATACAAAGAAAAAGAAAAATATTCCATAGTGCCTTCTGAGTTTTTACTCAATTATAATTACATTTGTGTGTATGTTTCTTAGCTGCTTCAAATCTTTTCTGTGAAGGAAAAAAAAAGGCTTTAAAAAAAATCCCTACCTGTATGAGACACATCCATATACAGAAAATGTTCCCAAAACTGAACCATTTCACTTGTACTTCCTGATCCCTACCTGAAATATAAATGAGCACACAAATTTTTAAGATTAATTAAACATTAATATACTTTAAAAGATTTTTAAGTAAAAGCAAATTGCAAATTTTTTTTCAATAAAATCAAGGCAGAAAGCCAAAACTCTTTATCATATGATTTGCAAATGGCTTAAAATTTCAGGGGATAGACAGGAAAGACTAGAGGTTGTACCTACATCTGTCAAAAGAGGATGTGAGCTTACTACAGGAAGATTCTAATAACTGAAATCCCTGATAGTGTTAAGATTAAGATCATAAAACAGGGAATCACAAGCTTTCTCACTGAAACATCCCTAAATTAATGGGGCAATAGACACTGACCTCATATATACAAGAGTCTGGGAATAGAACCCAAAAGTGCTATAGTGATCAATTTTCTGCTACATTAAATATATTATCTTAAAATAACTGTGCTAATTCCTTTTTGACCCCATAGTATCTCACTAAAATTCATACTTAGAAAGAATGTACCACATTGATATTTGTACTTCTTCACATATCCAGCTCTGAAAAGAATTCAACTAGAGGTTCTCACCCATTCTGTTCAAACCAGAACTGTATGCCTTTGTGAAAAAGCACATATTTTATATTTGAAGGAAAGCTAATCTAATAAATTCCTAGGTTTAATCAGTGATTGTCTCCCAGGTTCAACTTTACTTACACACACACACACACACACACACACACCCAAGTGAGATGTTTTACTTTTTAACAAACATTTATTTCTTGAATGCTTGATCCTTACAATGTTATCATATCCTGTAATATAGAAGTATAATTGTAACCATGTTATAGACAACTCTTTTTCAACAATTAAAAATTAACTCTAGTATCAAACTGCAAATATTAGCAAGAAAATCAACCGAAGATAAAGCATGCCTTGTTTTCACCTAATTATAAAAATTATCTTAAAAGGTTATATGACTTAAATAGTTAGAAGTCATAACTAAGCATAATTATGTATTTGAGTTTAAATTATATTAAATTACTCTGAATTTAAATTATCTTTATGAATTTTATAATTAAGCCAGTCTTATAATTGTATGAAAATCCTTTAACAAAAAAATTAGATCTAATCTAAAATTTTTAGAAAGACCTGTCTTTAAAAAAAAAAAAAAAAGTCATTAATTTTCAGTCATCCCTTGGACCAACATTTACAGGTAAAGAGATATCAGTTATTATTTTTGCATTTAATTCTCTACAATGGTAAATAAAAATCATTAACAAAAGACTGTTTCAAATTTTCAAATTTAAGTTAGTGGGCTTCCTAAACTTTGGGACAATTTTGGTAAATGCTTTCCGTTATTATTTTTGCATTTAAATTCTCTACAAGGGTAAATAAAAATCATTAACAAAAGATTGCTTCAAATTTTCAAATTTCAATTAGTGGGCTTCCTAAACTTTGGGACAATTTTGGTAAATGCTTTTTGCTTCAAAATTATAAACTTCTATATAATTATAAACATAATTTTCATCTAAGTTATTTAATTTGAGATAATTTAAATTCAAAGATATCATGAATAGTTATTATAACTTAATTATATTACATTTGAGATACTTATCTTTATAACACTTTAAGAAAAAAAATTACAGGTCATGCACTATTCCCACTTCTTTTTACTTTATCTCATATAAAAACTGATCCTTGTGCTCTGGGGGAAAAAAAAACTTTCACTATGATAGTATATCCATTTTCTCCAATAAGTTATAAAATTTTCACAGTTAAGTGTAACTTATTCAAAAAATGTTACTTAACAAAATTTTTTAGTACATTTTATTAGTCAAGTTCTTAGAATCACTTAGATCCCTATATTTAATTTCCTAGTTACTGAAAGAATCACTTAACTACACTAATCAGATACCTTTACAACATCAACAAAATCAATGCAACAAAATGTCAAAATAGAAGAAATCTGTCATGTTTTTGCTGGAAGCCCAGTTATTCCTATATATTCTAATACACAAAGATCGGGTAAAACAAAAGAAACAGTTATTGGGAGTTCTTTATCATGGTTTTCTCCTTTGTCAATTAAGCACAAATTTAATGGTTAATGCCAGTCAAAATAGCTTCTTCGCAGTTATACACATAAACTAAATAAACAATGAATATATAAAAATATATTCTTTTCTCCAGAGGAAGCCCAGTTAACTTCCTGGACAGGAAGAATTAAAAACAAACAAAAACATGCAACATGCTGTACCAAGTACCACAAAAAGTTGATCAATTACTGTTTTTTGGTTGTTGAGAAATGTTAAACTATAAAAAAGGTAATATTACAAATATCTATGTTCTCACCAACTAAAATTTATAACAAATGACATTTACATTATGCATTCAAATTCATATAAATATGAAACCATATTTGGTTCACTTTAAGTACATATAAAAGAATAACTAGAGATAAAGTTGACACCCACTGTTCACCACCCCCAGTAGCAATCCCCTTCTTCACCTCCTTACTAGCAACCACTATCATGAAATTGATATATGGCCTCCTAATTCATTTTCCACATTTTCATTTACATATTTAAATAACAGAGTTGTTTTTCATTTATTTTTTCAGGTTTCATAAATGACCTCATACTGAAATTCTTTTACTTCTTTAAATTTCTGAGATCTATTATTGTATCTATTGACCTACTTTGTTCCTTTTAACTATGCTTTTATCAAGTAGCAAACCACATATAGATAGCACATTTTATTACTCCATTCCCCTGCTAATAAAATTTAGATTATTTCTAACTTTTCACAATTTCAATGCTTTAACACATATCCTTTCTGAACAAGTTTCTTTGTTCACAAGTAAGAGTTTCTCTTAAAAAAGAGTTTCATACAACCTCAGAACTCTTGATATGTTGGGCCAGGTAATTCCTTATTATGGGGGGGTCTGTCCTATAAATTGCAGAATGTTTAATAGCATCCCTGGCGTCTACCCACTAGAAGCCAATATAACTCCCCCGGTGTCACAACAAAAAGTATCTCCAGGCATTGCCAAATGTCCCTTGAGGGGTAAAATTGCCCCTGTTGAGAACCACTGTTCTAAGGTCTATACAAAAGTAAAACTGATGGGTTATATGTATTCATATATTTTCCATTTTACTGGATACTGCCCCTGTTCTCCAATCACTCTATCAATTTACACACCCAACAGCTTATAATACCTCTGGGTTCCAAACATCCTTACCAAAACTTGACAGTGTATGATGATTTAAGTTTTTCCAATAAAATAAATCATTCATTTTCCAAAGTGAGACTGTCACTGGAACCATTCAAGAATAACAGGTACCAATGTACCACTTCTAAGAAATTATAATATAAAAACTCTAGCTTAAAATTAGGGAAATTATCTATATTATATTTCCTTCTTCTTTGCCTTTGTTCTGTTAGTCCGTTTTTTCTTGGCATACATGCATATTGGTATTAATATAATAAATTAATTCTAACTACAAAACTTATTTGACCTGTAAGCTTCAAAATTATTATACTTGGTCCACATTTCCTAATAACACTTTCAAGAGAATACAAGAGTTTTAAATTACTCATTTAAAATATTTTGATTGCTATCATGACTTACCAAAGATTCATCATTCTTACACTTTTAATTGCTGGCCTATACGTGTAAATACTGAATATTCACAAGAGAAATACCTATTTCTAAATTATCTATCTGTAAAACAATCTATTGAACAAACTGACTAAAAATAGAATCAGACTGAATCAAGAAGGTACACTAAATATACATTCTGCCTTCCCCTCCCTCCCTAAATCCACAGAAATTTAGGTACCCAACCTCTAGTTCCAGATTTTCAGTTCCCTATAAAAATTAACTGTAATTCCTGCTTATCACTTCTATGAGATAACTATAGCTTTTTAATATAAACTCTCACTCGGATAAGCAATCTTGTATCGGTTTCTATTACTGGCACCCAAAGAACCTCCTCTAATGACACATTGAAATAATGATTCCACCCATAATGATTCTAACATAAGACTAAAAAGCCAAGGCAGGCCACGAACTAAGAAGAATACCAGAAAGACAGAACAGATCTTATTTTAACTTTAAAAAAACAAAAAAAGAATCCTGTACAGATCACTGCAAAATATAGGAGTTGCTGTTGCTCTGAGGGTAGCGCAAGTACAAAAAGTCAAGAACTTGAAGCTAAAGGAAGTCTTAAAGCTATCAACAACATGAATAGTCAGACTATCCAGACAGGCTGCTCCTTCCGCACCTCTCACCTATCGCACCACAACCCACAGCAAAGCAGCTAGTGGCAGAGGTATCTGTCCTCTCCAAAAGGAGCCATGAGGAAGGCCCCTTCATTAAAACCAAATAATTTGAAGCCTTGTGCCCAATCTAAAGAATGTATACTTTAACATTTTGTAATAAGTAATCATTACAGATTTCTGGACAACTATATAGAATGATCAAAGCAGTGTTTTAGAGAGCTTAATCCAGTATCGGTAAAAATAAAGTAAGGAGAGAAAAAAATACAGATAGCAAAGTCAGTCGAGAAACAGTACAGGTGTAGTGGGCCCTGAAATCAAGATAGAGACCTTATGGAACAAAAGACACAGATTAGTCTAAATATATTGATAAAAATAGGCCCGACAAGGTGGCTCACACCTATTTTTGACCTCATAATCCTAAGATTAATTTAATAATGAATGCTGAGTGCTAGGGATAGTATAATGAAGTTTTTAATAACCATGTTCTTAAGGATTAAATAAATGAAAACAGGCCTGATGCAGTAGCTCACACCTGTAATCCCAGCACTTTGGGAGGCCAAGGTAGGTGGCTCACTTGAGGTCAGGAGTTTGTGACCAGTCTGACCAACATGGTGAAACCCCATCTCTACTAAAAATACAAAATTAGCAAGGCATGGTGCCCCATGCCTGTAATCCCAGACACTTGGGAGGCTGAGGCAGGAGAATCACTTGAACCCAGGAGGTGGAGGTTGCAGTGAGCCGAAATTGCTCCAGCCTGGGCAACAAGAGCAAAACTCCATCCCAATAAATAAATAAATAAAATAGATTAATAAAAATAGAATAAACTTGTTGAATGACTTGATACAATGAGAGGAAAAGATAGGGTAAAGACTGTTTTATTTTATTTTGCCTTTTTTTATTTTATTTTGCTCACTCTGTTGCCCAGAATAGAGTGCAGTGGCTCGATCTTGGCTCACTGCAGCCTCCACCTCCTGGGATCAAACAATTCTCCTGCCTCAGCCTCCTGAGTAGCTGGGATTACAGGCATGAGCCACCACAACTGGCTAATTTTTGTATTTTCAGTAGAGACAGGGTTTTACCATGTTGGTCAGGCTGGTCTTAAACTCCTGACCTCGTGATCCACCCTCCTCGGCCTCCCAAAGTGCTGGGATTACAGACATAAGCCACCGTACCAGGCCTGTTTTATTTAACCCTTAAGAAAATGGTTATTAAAAACTTTATTATACTATCCCTAGCACTCAGCATTCACTAAATTAATCTTAGGATTATGAGGTCAAAACTAACACTAGAGTTTGGGCTGAGATGGTAGTATGAGGCAATAAAGAGAGAAGTCTTGAGAGAACACTAGATTAAAAATACTAATGGTTATTTCCATTATAGAAATGCTGAGCTTTTTCCTGTAAATTTCATTTTTGTTTTAAAAAGGTATTTTATACCAAATTTATGTATAAAAGTTTTTAACTCTGTATTAAGAAGTACCTGATACATGCAAAAGAATACATATATTAGATACAGATGTTATAAAACATAAAAATAGTATGAACATAATAAACTTACCTCTGAACCTAAGAAGTAGGACATTACCAATAACTTCAAGCTCCTGGTATATTCCTCCATAATTCTAACCTTCTGTTCCACCTCACACATAGACAATCATTATTCCAAATTTTATCGTAATCATACCCTTACTTTTCCTTAATGTTTGCCTCTATATTTATGTATGATTAAACAATATATTGGTTAGTTTTTAACTTGTTTTGAAGTTTCTCATTTAAAACAGTATCACACATTTTTTCATTAAATATTATGTTTCTAAGATAAGCTATGTGTACACACGTGGCTTTAGGTCACTCATTTGCACTGCTATACAACATTGCAATGTATAAATATGCCATAACTTATTCATCCTATCTCCTACTGATGTATTTACAGGTTTTCGGTGTTACAAACTGTTTTTATGAAGTATTCTTGAACATATCTCCTAAAGCACACTTCCAAGAATTTCTCACACAACCAGTAGTGGAATTGTGTTGAAGGTAATGTGCATGTTCCATTCTACAAGATAATGCCCAACTGTCTTTACTTTATTACAAAGACAAGCTATTAAAATTTGAAAGCCAGCACCAAAGAACAAAGTAAAATACATGCCTAATTAAATGTATGTCACAGACAAGCAAACAAATCCACATAAAAATCATCATCACCATTCAGAATGTCACTGCCCAGCATCACAGGTTAAAATTATATAAGCATCTCACAGGAAACTGTCTCCTCACTCCCTTCTCTTCTGTCAGTGGAATCATTACCATTTCTGTGTCACTCTCTTACACAAGGTTTTCTGGGTACCAGTAACAGAAACCCACACAAAGTTGCTTAGCCCAAAGTGACAACTTATATTAAAAAGAAATCATAATCTCCCACAGAACTGATGAACAAGAATTTTACAACAGATCTTTACAAGGGTCTGGAAATCAGAACTGCAAAGCTGCCAGGAACTAAGACTGTTGTATCTCTCAGAGACCTTAGACCTCTCTGGCAGTGGGCTTCATTTTGTTCTCCACATGCCAGTCCCCTCTGTTTTTCTATGACCACAGGCTAGCTATGGCTGTCCCAGCCTCAGTTTTACATGTCTTTCTAGAGGAAAAGCCTTACAGAATCAAACTTGCATCTTTGCCATCCAACATTTTTACACTGCTGAAAACTACTTAGCCCAGTTTAGCACAGAGTCCTACTCGTGGTCCTAACAGCTATGTAATGGGAATGAGAGGGTCCCACTTACATAGCTGCAAAGGCCCACCCTTGGAGCAGGGTATCACTTTTCAGACAAGGGCTCAAGCTGAGCAGGCAACCAAGAAAGCATCTAGAACAAAGACCACTGGAAAACAGTATAAAGCATACTGGAGAGCATCTCTGAGACACCTAACCATAATTCCACACAACTTCTCACAGAGCCCTGAAATCAGCATTTTAAAGTCAAATAAGTAAATTAAGTACCCAATAGTAATTCTAATAGCAGATACCAGCTTATCACTGGCTATATATACCACTCTCCATTCCCAGTGTCAAAAGCCATTTATGACCCTTTATGACATCCTACTTTTTATGTTGCTCCTATCCTTCCTGTTCTTCATCAGACTCTGCAGCATATGATGCAATTAACCACCCTCGACTTAAACCTCTCTCTTGATTTATCTGATGAAGTCCTCTCCTGGTTCCTTTCTGACCTGTCAGTTTTCTTTACTCACATATTTTTCTCTGTTTAAGTTTTAAACATAGGTAGTTCTTAGATACGACACCAAAAGCATAAGTAGCAAAAGAAAAAATAGATTAACTGGGTATCTTCAAAATTTTAAATCACCGTGTTATTCAAAGGACAACTCAACAATTCACTTTAGTCATGTGGAAAGACAACCCACAGAATGGAAAAAAATGTTTCTAAATCATATATAAGAGACTTGTATCTAGAATATATAAAGAATCCTTAAAATTCAATGATAGGACAAACCCAATTAAAAAATAGGAAAAGAATCTGAATATAGAAATCTCCAAAGAAGATAAACAAATGACGAGAAAGCACATGAAAACACGCTCAACATCATTAGTCATCAGGGAAATCCAAATCAAAACCATGATGGGAGTGATTTCAGCAAAATGGTGAAGTAGGGAGCTCCAAGTTCTCTCTACCCATAAAAATATCAAAAAACAAGCAGTAGCTTTAAGAACCAGCTTTGTCAAAACCATGGAACAGTCGAAGTTTTACAATAGCCAAATGAATCTTGAATCAAGAGAAAGGCTACTTCAAAAGCTTTATTTTTTAATGCCCTAGCCCCATCTCCTGGTACAAATGGCAGCATTAGGCTGTCTTCCCTGAGTGTCTTCCCTCTCTGATTCCAGAGAGAGCAGAATAGACTATATTTGGAAATTATTGTGTATATCTGTTATGACCTGTCTAGAAGCTACCTTAATGACTGATGCAAGATGCTCCACTTTATTTCACCTAAGAACTCAGGCTAGAAAAGCAGCAATCATCTTGAAAACATGGCAAGTAGAACCAATAACCCATAGATGCCTGAGACAAAAGATTAGTCTAAACATACAATAGTCACCTAAAGCCCAGAAGCTGGGGAGAATTTATTTGATAAATTAGGAGCATAAAGGGGAATTTGGAAGACTGCACACTAACATGCATCATCAGAAAAAACTTGTGAGAACTCTAAGCTTCCATCTTGGACTGCTTCCTGGGCTCAGTGCAAGCCTGGCTAACTACTGAAGGAGTGCCCCCAAAGAGAGCCAATCTGCAAAGACTGGGAAAGACATTCTTCGGTTTGGTTGATTTGTTTTTTCTTTGTTTCACCTCCTGACATTCAAGGCAGTTTTTCCACAACTCTAGCTAAACACAAGCTAAAGAACAGAGACTCTGCTGACCACACATGACAAGGAATAGTCTTTGCAAAAATGGTTTCAGAAAACAACTAAACAAGTCAGGCATGGTGGCATGTGCCTATAGTCCCAGCTACTTGGGAGGCTGAGGCAGGAGGATCCCTTGAGCCCTGGAGTTCCAGCCTGGGCAACATAGTGAGACCCCATCTCTTAAAAAATAAAAACAAAATGTAATGTCACAATCTGACTCAAAAGAAACAGAACCTAACCTGACCCAAGACTTAATACTTTATTTTTTAAGAGATGGAGCAACATAGTAAGACCCCGTCTCTTAAAAAATAAAAACAAAATGTAATGTTACAATCTGACTCAAGAAGAAACAGAAACTAACCTGACTCAAGACTTAATGTTGACCCCCATTACATTATAGGATGATCCTTCAGGACAAAAATTCTGTCTTGATCAATCTATGCAAGATACAGTAGAAATTCCACTAGAGTTTAAGACAAACTAGACTTAAATGTCCAAAGGAGGGAAGAAAGATAGCAATAATAATAACACTTACCTCATATGTATTATCAGAATTATCAGAGAATATACATTAAAATTAATTTGTAAAGTAGATCTCATTCAGATGCAGATGAGTATTTTAAAAGGTATATCTACTAAACATAAATGTCATACTGCAAATCTGTCCCTCTTTTAATATCAGAAGTTACACTAGGGAATACTGGGCATTGATCTCAAGTGAAATTTCAAATTTCAAATTTCACTTGAGATCAATGCCCAGTATCCTGTGAAATTACTGCATTATATCACACTTCCATAACATAGGAGTCACCTGGGTCCAGGAAAGCAAAGCACTCTTTCCGTACTCTAGAGAATACTAGATCATGATTAGTGGTTCCCGTTTCGATTTTTAGAGAGCAAGGTCTGTGACTTACTCCCATTTCTAGCCCTATGACAATGATTTTTTCAAGAAGACCAACTATCAGTACATACAGGGAGGCATATGAAATTTGGGAACAAAACATCATTTTGTCCATTTTTGTTTTAAAGTTAGAGCTACTTTGAATTTTCAAATAAAATAAAAGAAGGATCTATCAAAGTGGGACATGGAGGCCAGCTACAGTGGCTCATACCTGTAATGCCAGCACTTTGAGGGGCTGAGGCAGGAAGATCACTTCAGGCCAGGAGTTCACGACGAGCCTGGACAACAGAGTAAGACTACATCTCTACAAAAAACAAAAACAAAATATAAGCCAGGCCTGGTAGCACATTTGTTTATCCCAGCTACTCAGAGGCTGAGGTGGGAAGATCACTCGAACTCACGAGTTTGAAGTTACAATGAGCTATGATAGTGCCACTGCACTCTAGCCTGGGAAACAGCAAGACTATGTCTCAAAAAAAAAAAAAAAAGTAGGGCATGAGCTGAGAAGCTTGGCACCACGAGGTCATTAGATGAAATGAATTACTTAAGACATAAAAAGACACCAATGAGAGTTTATGTCCACCACTCCTCCATTGCTGGGACTATCGTAATGCAATAATCTCTTAAAAGGTCTACTACCTCCACTACAGCAATTACCAGAACTCATCTTTCACACTGTGGAAAAGTACAGCCAAAATAGATATCATCAGGTCATTTACCTATCCTCTTCAAATAGCTCCTGTCAGCTTGAGAATAAAAATAACCTGGCCTCTTCCCTCACTTTCCCCCTCCAATGTATGGTCCTATCTGCCACCAACTTGCTCCAGCAACAGTGACCCGATTCAAGTTTCTTAAACATTTCAAACTCTTTCAGGCTTCTGTCCCTTTGCTCATGCTCTTCCTTCTTCTACCAATGTCCTTTTCACTCTCTTTACCAGTTCTGACTGATTTTTCAAAGCCCAGCTATAGCTTCCCAATCTGACAAAAGTGTTCCACAACTACAAGACTGGCTCAACTGTTCCTCTCAAGTTCCTACAAAAATGTGTGTCCATCTCTAACTTATCATATATTCTATTCTAATTAAGATTTTTTTTTAATCTATCTCTTCCAGCAGATAATGAGTACTGCAAAACCAAGAACAGGTGTTTATGGTTGTTTGCAACTCATTTACCTATTACAGTGCTACTCCATAAATCTTTTCACAGAACTAAATTGCTGAACTTATATCAGCTTTCAGGAAATTCTTTCCATCATTTAAAAATAAAAAAGGAGGTTCCCCCACCCACCAAAATTTTCATAATAGCTAGTGCTACAGAGGCACACAGGTTTATTGATGAATATTATACAATGGTAACATAGTTGTCGAGATAGCCAATTAAATGTTTTCAGATCCATTCCCCAGACTTAACCTATACTGCTCTGTATCACAGGCAACTGTGTTCCCAAACAACCCTGACCTCTGACAAAGATTTGGCCAGTGGGAAGTCAATGATGGGTAAGCAGAAAGCAAAAGAGAGAAAAACCAGAGTATTTCTCCTCCATCTCTCCCTACTTCCTGTGCATCCCTGACAGGAAACTGTCTTTTCCAAAACTCTAGTCCTCTGATGTCCCTGCTCCCAAGATGCACCCCTGCTATGGCTCTAGTTTCCCCACAGATCCCTGGCTTCTATACTCTGGTATCGCCACTTTCTATGCTGTGGTAGCACAGAAGCTTCCTGCTGTTTTTAATAACCAAGTTGTCTCAGAGTTCCATTTGCTCCTGAGCAATTCTATTATCTGTCTAGTTCCTGGATCAAGTTTCCTCTGCTGAAAGACCTGCAGTGGTTTCTATTTTCTGGATGAATCCTGACTGACTGTTTTTAAATGTCATTTAAGAAAAAAGACGTATGAAATAGTATAACATTTCAGCACAGTAGAGCATAAAAACTTTCAATCTTGAAGAAAGTTCATTACATTAAAAAAGCTCTAAATACAGAAATGAAGAGAGAACACCATGCATAAATTCTTAAAGGTAAAAACAAGGAACCTAACATTTTATTATACCAAAGTGTTCCTTACTGGAATGAAGTCCTTACTCAGCTGCAATATTTGTCTGAATTCAGTCAATCACTTACAATAAAATTGTCACTTTTTTGAAACTTACTTAGTGGAGGAGAAAATTGGAAGGATTATGTGACATGGAGTCACTGCAGGCCAAGACATCTGTTCCAAGGGAAAAAAAATGTTAAAGACCTCCTGTCAGTGACTTATCATTCAAATCTACAAAATTCAGTCCTTTTGACAAATCCAACTGATCAGCTGAAAAGACACACCTTTATCCATTAAACATATTTCATTTAGTTAATAATATAAAATATCGAAGTTGAAAAGAACCACCTCAAACATAAGGAATAATGGGATGATTTGTAAATAGCTCAACATTAACAATTATTATAGTACTTCTCAATTCCTTTTTCATGTAATCATTATATGAAATTCCTTTAACAGAGTTAGTCTGACAAAATAAAAATTCATTCACTGTCCATAAAATATTTCAGAAAATGAGATACTTGTAGAGCAGACAGAATATCTACTATCTGGTTTTTTTGTTGCTGTTGTTTGTTTGTGTTTGAGGCAGAGTCTCACTGTGTAGCCCATGCTGGAATGCAGTAGCACAACCTCAGCTCACTGCAACCGCCACCTCCTGGATTCAAGCAATTCGCCTGCCTCAGTCTTCCAAGTAGCTGGGACTACAGGCACCCACCACCATGACCAGCTAACTTTTGTATTTCTACTAGAGACAGGGTTTCACTATGTTGGCCAGAATGGTCTTGAACTCCTGACCTCATAATCTGCCCACCTCAGCTTCTCAAAGTTCTCGGATTACAGGTATGAGCCACTGCACCCGGACTAGTTGCTTTTTATTTTATACATAAACAAAGTTTATTAATCTGTTTGTTCTTGATCGAAGAAAAATTATATTCCCAACAATCCCAAAACTAAAGCAAAAAGCTTGCCTAAGAAATAGGCTTTGGAAGAATTAGATTTGAAGAAAGTAGGACCTGATATAACAAGTACTTGGTAAGCATAAAATTCTAGGCATTTTATAAAAATCATTTCATTTTATGTAAAACTCTCAGAGGAAATTTCACAGTGAGGAAATATAAATCCAAAAAGGTTGCAAAATTTTTCAAAGCCACCTAACCAGTAAACAGTAGAAGTAAAATTTCAGCTCACTCTTGTCTCACTCTATAGTGTGGTTCTATTAACTATTCTCCCTTGCTTTCTCTGGAAAAATATGCCATGAGAGTGATTTTAAGCTAAAAATAAACCAGCAAATTATTTTCGGGAAAAAAAAAGAGGGCTAAAGCAACATGACAGTCTCTAGCTAATATTTTAAATAATCTTTATTTAATACTATCAAACTTTCACATATTAACATAAATACTTGTGTAAATATAATGAGAGCTTTACTCAGCATCTATTATATGTCATGTTCTGCAAATAAACAGTTACAAGAAGGACCTACCTCAAAAAGTTCCTAATTACCAATTAATACATATTTCTTACCAAAACAAAGGCCCTAAAATGACATGAGCATCTTCAAGCCACCATCCCATGCATTCCTCTAACCGTGTACATGGCTTATTCATCACATGCTGATAGAAGAGCCTTGTCACACATGTTCCTGGCCAATTGCTCCTCCTGGTCATGTGAGTAGTGTCTAAAAATAGGGTGAAATGCTGAATTATTTATAATCTAAGCCTCTTTGTACAAATTTTGATAAATGCTTTCTAGGGATTAGGTGGCCACCAATATCCTCCATACTACTCCTTTTCAAAAAATGCCCCACTCTAAGGAATATATTTTACATCACAATACCATACACATACATATGTAACTGAAACAAAATTTTTATAATAACCACATTTACACTTACTCTACAGAATGCATTTGATATTTTTAATTTTTTTTTTTTTAATGCTGATAGCAGCCCATGAAACAGCTCACAAACTACTAACCTACACTGGAATACTGGTCTAGATTTCAACCCCACTAAGGGAGTGCTGAAAGGACAAGAGTGTTCTTTCTTCCTCTTCTCCACACTGAAGTAGGAAGCTAGTAAGACAAGATAGGAAAGGGAAAAGAGAAGGTGGCCTCCAACACATTTGGAGAGTTAGCCCCAAAGGTCAGACTACTTCCCTGGCCACTAGCTTAACAACAGCCAGCACCCAATTTATCATACGCCCTCCTTTTCTTTCTCTTCCCACCCACTACCATATTCCCAAAAGTTTTTCCTAAAAGAAGATTGTTCTTAGGGATTATTGTTATTAATGTAACTGTTTTTATTGGTTATTGTTAAATACATAACATAAAATTTACCATTTTAACCATTTTTAATTGTACAATTCAATGTTAAGTACATTCACAATGCTGTATCACCATTACCACTGTCTATATTTAGACCTTGCATCATCCCAAACAGAAACTCTGCATCAATTAAACAATCATTCCCCAATGCTCCTCCTCCAGCCATGGTAATCTCTAATTGATTTTTATAATACCATTTTATAAACATATAAAAAATAAGTAAAAATAGAATAATAAAACCCTACAGACAGAAGACCCGGACTCAACAAATTATCAAATTTTGCTATACTTGTTTCAACTGTCCCAGACCTATTTCACTACTTCATACTTATACAAAAACTATAGATTCTTCTTACATAACCACAATGTCATTATCACAACAATATCAGTAATTTCTCAGTACCATCAAATGTTGAAATTTTAAAAATAAAATCAAGTAATTATAGAAAATATTTGCTTCCAACAAAGTTTTCATTGATCCTCTCAATAATGTCTAAATAGTTTGTTATAAAAACTGTTTAATAAAAGATAATACCTACTGAAGACCAAAAAAACCTACAATGTTTCAAATGAAAGCTTACCATTGACTAATTACACTGGTCACCATACACACTGACAAACCATTAAGGAGAGTTATATATTTTTCCACTACAAATCTAAATGTTATTTAGTATCTCAATAATGAAAGGTTTCCCAGCAGTGCACCACAAAAGTCACCCAGTAAAACCTGTTAGCATCATTATTTGCTTCCCATAAGCAATCATGACTTGAAAAGCCCATTTGTCTAGTATTATTTTTTTTAATGGACTACTCAATTTTAAAAACTAGATTTATTTTGTTCACCCTCAGTTTTCTTAATAGTATTGTAGAATGTAAAGACATGATTATCCACAAAAAACCTGTTGGTTTTGCAGAAAGGCCAAACTACAGTACTGAAGAGATATATGAATAAACTCTACTTAACAAACAATAGTAGTAACTGCTATTCCTATGAAGACTGACTTTGATGCACAAAAGTTTGACATAATAAAATCAAAAAATCTCATTTTCAAAATATAAAATTAGAGAACATAAAACAGAGGCTCGCTCAAATTTATCCTATACTTTTTCACATAGCATATTCACTAGTTAATAAGAAATTACCAGCCTGTGTTATATAAACAACCAAAGCTCAAAATATGAAATATAAAGCCAAATGTAAACAAGAAAATAATCTACATGTGTTTTATACAGTATCTTTTCTAATCCTATGTATTTTTACTAATGCAAAATATATCAACTTAGAAAGTATAATGCTAACATTCTTTAAAGTTTGTGATTATAAGGGATTACCTCCAAGATCAAAAGCAGCACTGCATGCATACTAATATCACACGATCTAACTGCACAAAAATTTGCTCTGCTCAAGTTGTTCATCACATGAGTGTCTAAAGTAAATCAAGAAAATTAAAACACTTAAGATGTTTAACAGGAAGCATTTGTGTATGTGTGTATTTAGATAAAGCTGTGTCACTATTTTTACGCAAATGACTTTCAAGTATTTGATTGAAGATCCTAGGACTTCTTAAAAGATAAATCAAGAAATGCCTGTTTTGTTTTCAATGCCTCTGTAACCTGAAAAAAACTGAAAAGCTACAAATATAACACATTTGTGTAGCCAACATTTTTTAAATGATGTCAAGTTTCAAAGATTAAAAACCTCTGCATTGTCTTTATATCATTTTAAAATTTCACTAGAATAAAAAAATGTGGTTTAAAAATGCAATTAGCTAACATATCCTACATAGTCATCACTACTCAATGAGAAAAATAATGGCTAAATATTGAGTAAAGAAAAAAACCTAGAAAAAAATTGCAAGGTGTAGAAGCACTTCTACATCATAAAACATTGCAGGTTGGGTATGGTGGCTCAGACCTATAATCCCAGCACTTGGGGAAGGCAAGGTAGGAGGATTGCTTGAGCCCAGGAGTTTGAGACCAGCTTGGGCAGCATAGGGAGACCCTGTCTCTTAAAAAATGTTTTTAAGTAGATGGGCATTGTGGCACATACCTGTGGTCCCAGCTATTCGAGAGGATCACCTGAGGTGGAAGGATCTCCTGAGCCTGGGAAATCAAGGCTGTAATTAGCAGTGATCTCACCACTACCCTCCAGCCTGGACAACAGAGTGAGACTTTTTTTTGAGATGGAGTCTCACTCTGTCGCCCAGGCTAGAGTGCAGTGGCATAATCTTGGTTCATTGTAACCTCCATCTCTCAGGTTCAAGCAATTCTCCTGCCCCAGCCTTCCAAGTAGCTGGGATTACAGACATGCACTACAACACCCAACTAATTTTTGTATTTTTTAGTAGAAATGGGGTTTTGCTAAGTTGGCCAGGCTGGTCTTGAACTCCTGACCTCAAGTGATCCCCGTGCCTCGCCTCCCAAAGGGCTGAGATTACAGGCATGAGATACTGCACCCAGCCGAGACCGTTTCAAAAACAAAGACAACAAAAATTCTATTCATGTTTCAACTATAAACTATAAAAAGAAAAATCTAGGTCTATCAAATATTTTACAGAAACAAGCATTCTTAATTTAAACAGTAATTAGAGTTCTCTGATGGCTGTTATCCTAAATTATTCCAGGTCAATAAATTTACCTTTTGAAAACTAAAGTGTAAGTGTAATGTATTAAGTACATACTTTATAACTATTTTTTGAACTGAATAAAAAAATTCAGATATACCATAAATTAACTTCAGTATCAAGAGGCAGAAAAGTGAGAGAGAGCAAGAGCGGGTGGGTGGGTGGTTGGGTAGATGGGTGGGGGTGTGTGTGTGTTGTGGCTGGCAATCTTTTTAACTTTCTAAACGAAGTCAACAATTTCATCTTGCCTTCTTACCACTGCCTCTCTCATAAGTGTCATGAAGAATGTGAAGTTCTGAGCCTCACTGGTGAAAGTTGCAGTGAGCCAAGATTGTGCCACTACACTCTAGCCTGGCCTACAAAGTAAGACTCTGTCTCAAAAACAAATAAAAAATAATCATTATTAATAATAATAATAATAATGTGGCTGGGCATGGTGGCTTACACTTGTAATCCTAGCACTTTGGGAGGCCAAGGAAGGCTGAATGCCTGAGTGCAAGAGTTCAAGACCAGCCTCCCAACATGTACCCCATCTCTACTAAAAAGTACAAAACTTAGCTGGATGCTAGTAGCATGTGCCTGTAATCTCAGCTACTGGGGAAGTTAAGGCACAAGAATCACTGGAACCCAAGAGGCAGAGGTTGCAGTGAGACGAGATCACGCCATTACACTCCAGCCTGAGCCATCGAGCAAGACTCTGTCTCAAAAAACAAATTAGTTAGTTAATTAATAAATAATAATAATGCAAAGCTTCCTGACCTGTGAGCAATACACATAACCAATGTTATGGAAAACTAATCATCAAATCAACAGTTAAAGCAATTTTCTGACATTTTCTTGCCTTCAAAAAAATGCATTACTATTAATGTCCTTAACTCTACAATATTGAAAGTATCATCAGTTCTTGTACAATTTCAATTTCCTTGCCAGATTTAATTAACTCTTCTATTTTACTCAGCACAAGTATCCCTTATACAAACTGCTTGAGACTGGAAGTGTTCTAGATTTTCTATTTTTTCAAATTTTTGAATATTTGCATACACATAATGAGAAACCCTGGAGATGGGACCCAAGTATAAACAAAAATTCATTTATGTCTCACTTATACCTTATGTACACAGCCTTACAGTAATTTTATACAATATTTTATGCATGAAACAAAGTTCTCACTGATTCATGACAGATCAGGTTTGATATTTTCCACCTCTGGTGTCACATCAGCACTCAAAAAATTTTGGATTTTGGATCATTTCAGATTTCAGTTTTTCAGATGAGGGAACCTCAACCTGTAGTAACAATTTTTAAGTTGCCATATATTGGGAACCCAGTAAGAATCATACACTGTCTTCAGTGCTTTTTACAAACATGACCTGCAATACGCCCACAATATACCTGCAAGGTAGTCACATCCCTATTTTACAAATCAGAAAACTAAGTCTCAGAAGGGTTGTTACTTCATGAAGACTGCATTACTAAGTGCTGGAGCCAGATTCTAATCCAGATCCATTTAACTTTAAGGTCTGTTTGTTCTTCCCACTATCCTAGGCTCTTCCTTATGCAAACCTTGGTCATGGGTGAAAAACACATCTCCCATTATTTTTTTCCCCAGAAATGTATTTGGGATGGGGGCAGTAAGAGAAATTTCCAGGACTTATTTTTGCAAATAGCAGGACACAGTTTTTTCCAAATGTGGTTTACATTTTAATATTTCAAATATGAACAGTAAGAACTACTTTATTGGGGGTGAAATTGGTCACTGGGTACAAAAAAATAGTTGTAAAGAAAGAATAAGACCTACTATTTGATAGCACAACTATCATTAACTATATTATCTAGGGTGACTAGACAATAACAATGGTACGTTTTAAAGTAACTAAAAGTTTAATTGGATTGTTTGCAACACAAAGGATAAATGCTTGAGGGGATGGATACTCCATTCTCTATGATGTGACTGTTTCACACTGCATGCCTGGATCAAAACATCTCATGTAACCCATAAATATATACACCTACTATATACCCACAAAAATTTTAAAATAACCAAAAAAAGTTAAAATAAAAAAGAATTACATTATTAATAAAATAAGACTTAAAAACATCCATTAATCACCACAAAAGATTTCCTACAATAATATTGATGATTCTGAACAAAGCAAAGATCCAAAAGTAGGAGTAAGGTATTGGTAAAAGTATTGCCAAACAGCATGTGTGTTTACTAAGTATAAACAATAATTTTCTAAGAATAATCACATGAAGCTCAGGATTGCTTATACAGTCCTTGAACTTAGGTTTGAACTGTGCCAGTATGCTTATGTGGATTTTTTCAAAACATGTATTTAAAAAATTTTTTGGAAACTCAAAATTAAAAAAAAATTCAGATGAACCATACAGCCTACAAATATCAAAAATTAATGCATAAAATACATGTAGATACTAGTCTATGTGTTAATCAACGGTTTATATTATCGGTAGGGCTTGCAGTAAACAGTTAGGTTTGAGGGAGTAAAAAGTTATAAATGGATTTTCAACTGCACAGGGAGTTGGCACCATTGTTCAAGGGTAAACTATGTAAGAATACTTCATTATAATACTAGAACCAATCAGAAAATATATTTATCTATACATGCTCTTTAAAATCAGAAAATATTTTCTAATTCTATCTGAAAATGTCTATTTCACTATTCTACCCTTATTCCTGAAATATATTTGCATCAGTTATAGAATTCTAGATTGGCAATTTTTTTTTTTTTTTTAAACAAACTCCCTCTGTGTTATCCAGGCTGACCTGCAGTCTCACTGGGCTCAAGCAATCCTCCAGCCACAGTCTCCTAAGTGGCTGGCTGCACCACGGTCTGGGCTGGGACCAACAGCACACACAACCATGCTCGTCTAATTTTTTAAAAATATTTGTAGAAATGGGGTCTTACAATGTTGTACAGGTTCATCTCAAACTCCTGGGCCCAAACAATCCTCCCACCTCAGCCTCCCAAAGTGCTGGGGTTACAGGCGTGAGCCATGGCATCCAGCCTAGACTGGCAAATTTTTTTCTAGCACATTGAGATATCATTCCACTTGCCTGGCTTCCACTTTTGCCCCTGTAGAGTAAGCTGTCGTTGTATCTGCCTCAGCTCCTTTGAAGGTAATCATTTATTCTCTGGCAACTTTTAAGATATTTTCTTCATTGTTGATCTTCATTTTACTATGATGTCTTCTAGATGCATATTTTCTTTAAGCTATTCTGCTGGCAATTCTCTGAGCTTCTCGCATTTGTTGTGGTCCTTTCTATTGGCTCTGAAACGTTTTCAACTATTATCTCATAAAATATTGTCTCCTCCTTTCCCATTATTTTCCTCTTGTGCTCTTGGAAAGCTAATGAAAGACATGTCACACTTTCTCATTTTATGTAATGTATGTGTTTATAAATATGTATTTCTTACCCTCTTTTTTCCCATTTCCTTCTCTGTGATACATTCTGCATAATTTATTCATTCATATATTCAGTTCTTTGAGTATATTTTTTTTTTTTTTGAGACAGAGTCTCGCTCTTTCACCCAGGCTGGAGTGGTGCAGTGGCACCATCTTGGCTCACTGCAACTTCCGCCTCCCACGTTCTTGCAATTCTCCTGCCTCAGCCTGCAGAGTAGCTGGGACTACAGGCACACACCCCTATGCCCCGATAATTTTTTTGTATTTTAGTAGAGATGAGGTTTCATCATGTCGCCCCGTTTGGTCTCGAACTCCTGAGCTCAAGCCTGCCTCAGCCTCCCAAAGTGCTGGGATTACAGGCGTGAGCCACAGCACCT